CCAATGTGGAAGAATGCAAGCAGTCACAAATTTAAGAATGACATTTGAGGGAACGCCGAGCTTTTCAAGCCTAAAGGCGTAGAATGATAGCTTACGAACCCGAATACAAATGTTTTCAACATGTTTGGACCGATTTTGTGTGACAAAGTAACTCCAAGATATTTCACAGTTAGCTTTGGGGATGGTATTACCATTAACAAAAAGTTCAGGCTGATTGCTCAAAAGGGTTTGATAAGGCATGCCTGTTTTAAGACTAAAAGAAACATCCACACATGCATCTACATTTAGCATTAAAGGTCGGGGAGTCAACCAACTAAAAATGTTATTGAGACAAACTTGAAGTTGACAGAAACAATTAGGAACAGTTGAGGGACAGCCGACCATCACGTCATCAGCATACTTGCAGGCGATAAAGTTGGGAGGGATGGGAGGTCCTTAATGTACACTGAAAAAAGAAATGAAGACAAAATTGCACCCTGAAAAACTCCAGAGTTAACTTCTAGCAGGGAGGACGATTTACCGTTGCAAAAAGTGTATTGCGTCCGATGAGTAAAGTAATTAATTAGTACATTCAGTAAATTAGGTGCCACACCACAGTCCGAAAGACATTGAATGAGAATGCCGCGGTCAAATGATCCGAAAGCATTTGCATAATCAAGAAAAGTTAAACGGACGATGCCAGCCCCTTTATCCAATAAGGATGAAACGGAGTGTACCTGGAAAGCAATAAATGGTAGATAAGGCCCGTCGTTCTAAAATAGCTACGCCAACCTTCAAGCTGTTTGTGCTAGTCGTCATTGCTTCCCATGCTTAATTCGGTCATTCGTTCACTAATTCAGGTTGAGTTCTCTCCAATAATTTGCATCGTGCAGCTAGACCTTGAGTGCTCTTCCTCTCTTCCGAGATTATGTAACCGGATATGAATTATATGCGGAGGCCATTTTAACACGCTTCCGGAAACCATCTTTCTCCCGTTTGTTGGTCAAAATTTTAAGTTTATTTAGGCCTGAATTTTACAATGAAATTACGTGACAGTTTCGATAGTTATCTTTTGCCTGTTGATTTTACCCAATAATGATGGAGTAGATGAAATAAGTACAGATACCGAACGCACAAACATATACAAAGCTTGCCAGCAAAGTGATACCTAAGTGAAACACAGTACCTCAGTCGCGTAGAATGGTGCAGGATGCATCACAAGGAAACCCAACTAGACCTATGAGACTAAGTATCATAATCAGGGTTTCGGTAACCTCATGCCAAGTCGGAGTTCGACTACTTTGACTTTCTTCCGTCCACTATCTGTTTCAGTGAGTATCGCAAGTCAAGTAAGTCTGCCAGGCTTCAACCAACTTGATCAATGGAGGCTGAGCACTTGCTCAACTAAGCGACCATGATTGATTAACGCTGATTTAGACATAACGGTGAACAAAATAACAGCGCCAGCCGAACTGCTGTAGTGTACATTCGAGTCATCACATACAGCCGGATGAGGGCGATTCCGTGGATATTGACCAGGGTGCACTCTTAGGAGTACTACTTGGAGCATCCAGCTCGGGAGGCTGGTTAAACTGCGAGATGAAGTGATTTGTCCAGGGTTCTAAACGTCGGCGAAGACTGGTGGAATAGTTGCCGGGTGTTTCCCCACCTAGCTGCTAATTCCATCTCCTTTGCACGTAGCGCCCGCCAGGCTTCTGGGTCGTCTCTTAAACTCTTTGAGTTGATGCTTCAGAGAGAGGAGCTGTTAGCCGGGCTGTCCGACGCGTGTTAAGTCTGGGGGAGTTGGAGGACACTCAGCATTTTACAACTCGGTGGTTCAGGCCACAACTGTGTAAAGTAGCCGAGTGAATTGCGTTTTGAATGGTTGCCCAATGTTGATCTACGCTTCTCGGTGGGGTATTAGTTAGCCTTGCGGCCAACTCGTTTTGGTCATCAGCTAGGGCAGTCGGGTCAGAGAGCTTGGCGAGATCGAGCTGTTTGTATCGCATCTTTTTGTGGCTCAAACCAGTACGTGATCAGAGTTCAAGCAGGTAGAGTATTTCAAACGGCAGTTTTCCACACATTCTCTTCATCTATAGCTAATAGCTATATGATCAATTTGAGTCCACATCTCTACCAAAGAGGAGTTACGCCAAGTGGCTAAAAGACGCTTTAGGTGTGTCTGAACGTTCGTGCTAACGACGAACAGGCTGTGCGCAGGCTCTGCGCATATGCTAGGAAGTTTACCCCGTTACCTCAACGGCAGCCATCAATGACATCATCCCCACCAATATGGGTATCATCGGGCGGGTCCTTAGGTCCTTGGCTAGAATCAGGACATCCGTCGTGGATGCGTTGAGAAGCTCGTGTGAGCTGTGACAAAAGGAATTTGACTGTATCCGGTCTATAGTCTGTGGAAGCATATGTAGAAATCACCAATAAGCACTGTTCGTTTGCTTTCTACTTATTGATTTTACTTAAGCCTCGGAGTCTCACTGAGTATAATCGGCTCTCTACCGGGATCCAATACAATGGTGGAACCTCAGTTCTGGCAGCTAAGGCAATACCAACGCCTGCTTGACCAGATGCTGCTGCAACAGGGCCCTCGGAAACACGCAGTTGAAACATTTCTTTTGTATTGGAAGGAGACTTTAATCGGATCATTGAGCTCGGATCCCGAATGCGTGTCTCCGATAGGCAACACACATCAATCTGTAGACTTTCGAGCGTACGAGCCAAACGTGATTGTTGTCCTTTAGGCATAAAGGTTGTTGAACGAAGAATGAGATCGGAGGATTGGAACGGTATACTCTGAGTGACACAACACTGCTGAGACAGATGTTGAGGACGATAGCGGAGGGCTACAACCAGAACTTACATCAGTGGAACCATTTGAAGTAGAACGTGTAGTAGATACTGTGTGTGGGAGATGAATGGAAGCGATGCGTGCAGATTCAGGGAAAAGGCAGTTATGTTTGAGTGTAAAAGTCTGAGGCATATGTGAACTTGTAGGTTCATGGTTAGACTATATCTGTAGTACTACCTGGCAACTACACCGAAGTAAAGTTTTCTTCAGAGGCCCTATCCAGAGCCTTTGGTTAAAAACCTGACCTACAAGTCAGTGGAGAGGAGTTGGGAGTCCACGATTCTTTGCGATCCGGTGACTGACGACCAGCAGAAGTTATTTGAGGTGAAGCATTTATAGAGGTGTTCGGGACGATTGAGGTACATTAGATGAACTACGGCCTGGGAGCACGCGGATGTCATTATCCTCGAACGGTTTAGAGAAGACGAATCAAGCGCTAGGAGACTAGTGAAACCAAGCTGCCGATGTAGCATGTATTTCATTTACAAGACGAAGTGGTCGTTCAAAGCCTTCGCCAACCGATGTTTGACGGGTAGGTTGCGACTCGGCACGTAGTTATTTTACTTGCGTGTTGCAGCAGAATCTAGTGCTGCAAAACCTTAGACACATTAGCTGAGGGCGTAGAGCACTTCTTTTGATCAATTTTGAGACGGCAGAGCTGCAGTTCCAGACAAACCTGTGAGTGGAAACTGACAGAGATTTGCTCAAACGTTATCAGGGATGACAGACGCAATGTTACACAAAGTGTGTACACAGATAAACAGTCCGGGCGAGCAAAAGTTCATGGTCGGCAAACAGTTGGTCGTCATACCAAAAGTGAGTTTTAAGCGGACGGGACTTTTCACGGCTGTTTGTTCGAATGGAAATCATATTAAAGACTGATGATTATTTTATTGGCTACTCAAAGCGGATTCTGAATCATTAGAAAAATTAATCCGCAGCTGCATCTGCAACAAAAGTAATGAGAGAAGTGAATACGATGGCAAACACAAGAATAGATGTGGTGCAGACTCCAGCAGGATAGTTAAGAGCCAATTACTGAAAGTACTTCGAAACAGTTCAGTTCAGTTTTCAGTTTGTACAACCATTAACCATGCGCTGTCCTGCGCCGGTTTTGGTTGCTATCTTTCGGTTACCGTAGTAGGTTACTCAGTAGAATCCTCACTCTGATAGAATCGATATAAACGTCAGTTGGGTCATCAAAGAACCAGAATGTCAAGCAATAGTTCGAAAGAAAGGTTTCAGGAAGACGGTGAGCTCATAAAGCAGTATGAAGAAGAGAATGTGAAGCACATTCCGAAAGGCTTTGTTCTTTGCAGCGAAAAACCACTAATNTGAGTTCGACTGCACATCGCATTGAATCCTCCGGTCATCGATTCAACACGACGGACGCGAACCAGGTCGTCGTTCAACCCAATAGTAGATATATGTTAGGTTTCATTGATGTATTTATTATTAACAGAATAATCAGAACTGTGCATCTAAAAGATACTTGTGATGCAAATTATTTCTTCCATCACCACCACCNACACAATGACCCCCTCCTCACGCTTCTTTTTTCACATCCCTCCAACTCGGCTGGAACTCGCCAAAACTGGCCACACCGGTGTTAGTTACTGCGATGAGTTTTTTCAACGACAGTTCACATTTTACTTTGATAATTGGAAGCACACGACGAACATCACATTCAAAGAAAATGCACCTGGACAGAGTCATTTTATTTGCCACGAACATACACTAACGTATCTTGAAACGAATACCTCCGGGTTATAACTAGAAAAAGTTCATCTAGCTTCCGAACATCGATGTTCAGCAGCATTACTTATTTGATACAGAACAGGTAGTGATTAAATACAAACCGAAGGCTAAATATGGTGGTAATACCCGCTTTAGAGTGCGACAGATATATTAACCAGGGAAGATTTACTGGTATCCAAAAGTCGTGAGTACAAGTTTCTAAAGTTAAGCAAAAAATACCTATTTGAATGTCAAAAGTACTTTACAGCAAAAAACGAAAGGCCGGGTAGCAGTCTGTATTCGAGTAGCTTCACAAAGAACAGCCATGTATCAGAAACCACGAAACAAACGAAAAGATGTCATTTATGTACAATACTGGAGTTATTCAAACTGGTCGAGCTGTTAGGTTTTGGACATTTTAACGCTTTGGTTTCTTCACTCTCACTTGCGTCTCACTAGCACCGGTCTCGACTAGTTCTGGCAGCTTTACATTTATCTGTTTACGCGAGCTGTCTGATAACAACTCCTCCGCGGTCACGGTACAGCCAGAATCGACCCACAATTCACGTAGAGCCAGCAAATGTGATCGCATTTCGCGAGCGGGTATGGACCATGCTTGTTGTAGTTGGTGTCCATTCAAAGGGAATTTGGGCGGTTCCCAAGCTTCCCAATCTGCCATGATTTCGGGTTGTACACCGACATACCGCATCATTTCACCGAGAACCGGTCGTATCTTGTTGGGTGCTTCGCGAGTCAGCAAAAACTGGCGTTTGTAGTGATTGAGAGCCTCCACAGGATTCACAAGCGAAACACATTGGTCCCGATATTTAACAATGTAGGCCAGTATGGTCGTTTCAAAGTTGGATAGTTTTAGTCGAACGTTGAGAGTTTCGATCTGCGAAAAAAGTAATAAAATGTGATCGAATTTGATATTTTATGAAAAATATATATTGGGTTGAGCCTAAGAAGTTACAGAATAGTCAATGGGATGAATTAATAGCTATAACCAAACGATATTAAAACCTTGTTGTGACAATGCGGAAATTAAGGTCCGTCGAGAGGTGGTATGGGGGTAGTAACCATTGACAAAGGGGTTACTTTACTAGTCCACACAGACTCTCAGAAAAACTGATACGTGTATTGAAGAAAAGTTTGGAATCCCAGAGGCACACAAGAAAAGCAATAGTATGCCAACAGTAGTATGTTTGCCGGGTGATCACAAGATCGCATGCACCTCAAATGAAGCCGTAGGCACAAGTAGGACAAAGACCTATGATGGCGCAGTACGATTGTGACTCCGAACGCATGACATACTGGGAGATAGTTAAAGCGGAATGGTGTTAGCTGTCGTGTGCGGTGTGCGATTCTACTCACTCATTAGCGTGGAAAACAGTTAACGACAGTAACAGTAAACGACAATGGCTTATAGTCAGACCGGCCTTTTTCAGCATTTGAAAGAACGCCTGAAACGGTTTATTCGTCAGCACGATTTAACTTTCGTTACATGATAGAAACGCAAAATACCGGGTAGATAAGGGACTGTAATATTGAAAAGCGGGGTATGTACGTACAAGGGGAAATGTTTGAAAGATGCAGAGTATTTGGTGCGTCAGAAAAAGTGGATTTTCTATTCACAGGTCCAGTAGGGGGAAATTCGACACATTCAACAACACAACGTGATAAACAAATCTAGTCAAATGATCGTAGTAGTGCCAATTTCATACCAAGAACTAAATCGAGATAACGAGAGGCAGATTTGTAAGTGTTCCAGACGGTGACTTCCGACGCTTATGACTATTCAAATGATGCCCCTTACACAACTTATTCAAGGACTTCGTCCGGTATTGCTTCGAAACAATTATCGGGAAGTGAAAGTTACAAACTTGGTGAATGAAATGATACTAGAGTTCTGTGAATGAACCTGTCAACTGCACCACTGCATGTGTTACGCAAATATACAGATTGTGGAACTTACTCTGTCGTGAATTACACAAAAAATTTGATTCTCTTTGAATGTATGATTTTGTTTAGGTTGTAACAGTGAATAAACTGCAACGAGCATTCTCGTACCCTAGGCTATATGAAAACGTTCTCACATAGGAATACCATTTGGTACAAATTTCACCACGACGATTTTGCACAATCGCGATGGGCGGGAGAGAAAGGTACGCAGAATATAAACCAGTTTCCTCTTGAGAACCGAATGGACGGATTTTAATGAAGTCGATAAGTGGAAGAGACTCTCGCGTGCTCTTTCTATAACATTGTTATTGACAGATGGTTTGTTCAGTTGAACAAAACCATTTTAACGTTGAGATCAAAGACTGTTCGACATGAGCATAGGAACTACCAGCAATGTAGGCACTTACATAACAATCTTCTTTCACTTGAAACTTCCGTTGCTCATGACTAGTTTAGACCAAGACCAAGCAACTAAATTTTATTCACTGGAATAGAATGGGGACTGTGGCGACAACTGAACTCCGAAATTTGAGAGACATGTGTGTGCACTATATCACAGGCAGATTTGTCTGAGCCAAAATAGCAAATTTTGACGGAATGTATGCATCAACAAGAGGAACCAGATGTTCAACGTAAATCGTAAAAACAAGTATACGTAAACCAGACCATGTTTTGCTTGGGCCAATGCAATCACAGCAGGACTTTCGTCAAATGAACCACGTGAATTAACCTCTCCACAATGTTTGCTTGCCGAACGAGAAAAAGGTACAGATTTTTTGAATGACAGGTGCGAGCTATCTACAACGCTAACCCAGGTTGGGCTAGGTTACAAAGATTCTACTTTTGGGACAAACTAGAAAACTGCATCTTGTTGGGATACGGGGGCAGGTAAATCCTGTGAGATCACGATCTCATATCTAAACGTTGAAGAGAAGAAAAACGAGAAGGGGAGCGTATTCCATGCACGAGACATTTGATATCTGTCAGAGACGTTGGTAAACTCGAAGGGAGAACCGTGTGGAACTGTCCTAAACCAGTAGAATAAACCGGATTACTTCCGATTCCGACGACGCGACAGTGACTCGTGACGCGAAGATGGGGCCAACATTACATTTTTATATGACGCTGGAAAAAAGACAGCGCAAAGCTTTTAACAGACCCATGAGTTTCTAATAAGTGATGGAAAAGTAAGCCGACTATTAAGGCAGGTGTTGGACGAGACGGAATAATTACTGTGAGGAAACTTCCTTTATGCCATCTGAGGCCAGAGAATGCGCGAAAAACGGAAGAATTCATGTCACAGCGTTGGAGGCGCAGAATAAAAAAATAATAATAAGGTGAACAACAGCTATGGATTCATTTTATTGAAGCCAACACTAATCAATCAGGTAAACTGTACCTAAATACGCCACTATCAAATCCAGGGTAACAACAGCCCAAAACCCAAATAAGAAGTATTTCTCCTTATCCATAGGGGTTAACAGTGTGACTTCCGCTTTCAGACTTGTTAAATCCTTAACACGTCGTTTGGCAAAAGATAGAGGCAGCAACCGTATGCAGTGACATCATCAGTGCTTGTGAAGTGGCCACTTTACAACAGCGAATAAAGTGTGCGGAAGTAGACGTGCGCTATGGGTACCCTGATCATTGAAGTCTACTCATTCGCATTTGTTGTAATAATGAAATTTTCACCCATACACTCCAAAACACACGACTGTGTACCAGGAATTAGTCAAACAATTGAAAACTAGATGTGCATACACCAATGATGACTGCAGACATAATTAACAATTTTTTGTGTACTGTCATCTGACCGCTTCGTGCAGATCTTTGTTTCTTCACCTGCCCTTGCTGTCTCGTTTTTTTCTCGCACCCAATCGTTCTATCTGATTACGTATCTATAAGTGTGTTCATCCATCCAGCTGTCATGATCTATCACGTGGACGGCACAGTGACCTATTTACCAGTGTGTCGGAAGCGCATGGACCGATCCAAACGGTTTGGACCACCAGAAACAGTGAGCGCCTAGTTTTGGCTTCAACTTGCTTCCAGTTTTAACTCTCCAGTTCCGAAAATGCATAGATACATACATATAAACACACGGTTGAAAGACAGTATACATCTTGTGCTAACGGTTGCGGCGATCGTGTCAAATCTGAAGCAACCCACCTTGAGTTAGATTTGACACGAAAACACATTCCATTATTGCACTGTAGACAACGGTAATTCATCTTGTAAATCCGCCTCCTAATGAGATACGCTGGTGTACGTGGAATCAATTGGGCGAATTCCAATCGTACCAGACAGTCTGCATTTCTCGGTGCCAATATTTAACGGCAGCCGGTTATTTCCGTTTCTCGATACAGCGCTTGTGGTTACTGTCCTAGAAAGAAGCGATGAGTGATCAGTTCAGTTTAGGTACCGACTACCATATATGTTGTACACTCTGTTTTGAACTAATATAAGTTGGCAAACTTAATGAGAAAAACCCAACATCAATACGGAAAAAAAACAAGAAAAAAGACCAATAGACAAACAGTATTTAGTAACTGTATGACAAAAGAATAGGACAAAATTTGATCATAATTGATCTGGTGATCAGACCATTTTAAACATAAACTGAATAAATTTAGAGTATCAAGCTTGAAGCCCGACCCGAATATTCGCGGTTCGAGTCTTGACAGGGACACAAAAGGTACGCACTGTTGGCGAGTTCCGAACAGGACGGAACGGCTTCCCAGTGCTCTTTGTCGGTTATCACAAACATTTTCATCGCATTTGAACAAACTGAATCACTTAGATCCTCACTGGAGAGTCCGATATGACCGTCTTAACGCTATATTCAACTTACTGTAAATACTAAGAAAATGAGTCGGTGAGCGAACAATTGTTTTTTGATATTCCTAATCATGCTCTTACATATCATATAGCGGAAAAAATTCTTACATAGTGATTGCTATTGGCTCAATTTAAGGTCATTAATGGGAGGTAGAGAGTAATGGAAGTGTGTGTGTGTGTGTGTGTGTGTGTGTGTGTGTGTATGTGCGTGG